TTTTTTTTTTTTTTTTTTTTACCATTTTGTGACATCATTTCCTGGAACTGTGTGTTTTGTTTTTTTCTTTGGAAAAACTTGGAACACCATTGAATATATCTGAAACCCATGGCCAATATTCAAAGTCAAGAAAGAATTTGGATCCATCTCTGTGCTGAGTGATCCCATCTATGCTTTCTCCTTCAGTTGTGATAACCTTTATAGTGAAGTAAATAATATTTTCACTATATTAATACAAACAAGGGGAGAAGCACAGAAAAGTCAAGTGATTTGCCAAAAGTCATACCTATGATAATGCTATTTGTTACTGAGTTGGATCTGCCCAAGGCTTAATTTCTAGGTACCTCTTTTGCTAAGTTTTGTCTTAATACTTGATTTTGAACATTGCAGTAGTGAGCGGTGGGCTTCACAGTGTGGCCCCTGGGATTCCACCTCTCCTTCCCAGGGAGCCTTGGGAGAACAGGAACAAGATTCTCCTGTGGGGAGCCACATGACAGGCCAGGGCATAATGATGCTCTGTAAACACACGTCTCTTACCCAGCCACTTAAAGAGACCTTTAGCACAGCCCACTCCTTAAGCCCTGTGACAGACACAAGTTGGTACCAGGTAAGTCGCCAGGCATAAACTCGTGCGGCCGTAAGCATCCTGCATGTTGGTATTGGCTCCCATCTTCAGCAGCAGCTTCACTGTGTCCACTTGTCGTCCAGAAACCGCATGCATCAAGGGCGTGCACCCTGGAATGAAACGTGGTAACAGCCTTTTCAAAACATTTGGTTTGTTAAATTTATGAGTAGACTTTATTTGCCAGTTCATTTACTTTGCTTCTTTCAGATAAATGAATTACAGTCAGCACAAATCAAGTTGTTGTGCTGTGTGGGATTTAAGAGAGATGAAGATGATCATTGTTCCAATTTTATAAAACAAAAATATTTTATTTAAAGTAAATCTCTGGTCTTATTCAATCTTCTATAATTTTTCAACAATGGGTAATTAAAATGTTTTGTGCAGATGATAAAAATTGTTGATTGCTACATCTTGTTTTTGTTAAGTGTCTTTGAGTCGGTTCTAACTCATAGTGAACCCGTGCAGGATTTCCAAGGAGCGGCTGGGGAATTTGAACCACCGACCTTGTGGTTCCAAGCGACCTTGCGGTCCAGTGCTTTATCCCACAATGCCACATCAGGACTCTGTAGGGGCCATCATAATTTTGGACATTATTGTTGTTAAGTGCCATTGAGTCAATTCCAACTCAGCGACCCTGTATAGCATTTCTGAAAAGTGGCTGGTGAGTTTGAACCAACAACTTCACAATTTAAACCAATCTTGCAGCCCAGTGCTTATCTTATAGCACCATACCAGGACTCCAATTTAGGACATAGCAGGCAAGAGTCCCTGGATAGTGCAAATGGCTAACACACTCAACTGATAACTGAAAGGTTGCAGGTTCAAGTGCACCCAGAAGAAAAGCTTGACAATCTACTTCAGAAAAAATCAGTACGGTTCTACTCTGACACACCTGAGGTTGTCATGAGTTGGAACCAACTCTACAGCTACTGGTGTTTTGGGTGCTTGACCAATGCAGAATCAGGAAGAGCCTTTGGAAAGCAACTCCACCCAGGCAGAGAGATTCAACACAGATTTTTTTTTTGGCAGAGGTAGATGGTAAAGTGTGGAAATGGCAACCTATGCTAAAAGAGTCCACCTTTCCTGAATACTTTTCTGAGTTTGGAATCAATATAGGTGTTTCTGGGCTAAGTTAGTTTTTCTTTGTGTGTGTTTGTGTGTGCTTTCTTCCTTAATAAAAATACAAATGACAGTACATATTTCATCTAATGTTGGGACTGCTGGAACAAGCCAGTCTGATGAGGCAGAAGTCATATGCGCCATAGTCCTTCAGGTGAAGCAAGCCAATCTCAGATGTGGTCATTTGTCCAGGCAACTGAGACTTATCGAGTTGTCTTCTGGTTGGAGATTCATGCTGACTGTGGTTGTGATTCTCTGCTAGTTGAAAGCTATGACCCTCAGAGAGCCAAGAGAATGGACCATCCTAGGCTGTTGTCCTCACTGAAAGGTTTCAGCCATCCACCCAATTTCTCTCCAAATATCTACTGGCATTCTAAGACTTTTTCAGGCTTCTGTACTGAGTAATGAGTCCCTGGGTGGTGCAAACAGTTAATGCACTATGCTGCTAACTAGAAGGTCGAAACTACCAGCTGCTTCGCGGGAGAAAGATGATGCTTTCTACTCCCGTAAAGATTTACACCCTCGGAAACCCTATACAGTGTCGCTATGGGTCAGAACCGACTCGATGGCACATAACAACAACAACAACAACAGAAGGTTGGAAGTTCGAGTTCATTTAGAGGTACTACGAAACAAAGGTCTGATCTATTTACAAGAAACCAGCCATTGAAAACTCTATGGAGGACAATTCTATTTTAACACAGAGGCGGTCACCATGATTTGGAGTCGACTTGTCAGAAGTTGATTCCAGAAATGGATAAAATATCATGTTTTTAATGGTGGACAAATTCCTTTCGCTCGCTCTCTCTTCCTTTCTTTTTTTTCTTTTTTCATCAGGTAACAGTTAAGAACTATTGAGAACAAAAATGATGGTCAGGACACATGCAACAAAACTTAATTATTGAAGCAATCTGTGACTTTTAGGTTTTCAGTAAAATAAAGCTAAAGAATATATAGGCATTCGATTCAGAATGCTACATGCTTTGTCTACCTAAAGTTATAACCATCTTGAGATCCTAGGTTAAGAATTATTTCCTCAGAGAATACCCTCCACCTTCCATTCTAAACTACACCTCATTGTCACAAGCTCTCATCATCCTTTCTTTTACAAGTGCTTAAGACATTTTATGTTGTTGTTGTTGTTAAGTGCCGTCGAGTCGGTTCCGACCCATAGCGACCCTGTACAGGGTTTCCGAGGGTGTAAATC